CTTTCCAAAATGTTTTTTGGTGTTTCTTAATAAACTGTATTATATATTTTGGACAAAAAAACATTTTGCCAATGCTGTAGTTATCTATGTACCTCCACGTGAGTTTCTTCACTCCTTTTCCCAAACCATACCTCACACACCACTGGTGCTTTGCAGGGTAAAGCCGGGCTCTGCGCTCCACCTGCAAACCGTTAGGTGAGAGCTGCAGGCACACAGCATCCCTCCTATGCTCCCTGCATGGGAAGAGAGCCCACTCCAACAGCTCTTCCAATCTGAGTGGTAAGAGGAGTGCTCCAAAGAGTCCCACATGTAGACATCACCATGGCAAGAAGACTGCTGATGGTCTGGGGATCAAACCAACCCTTGCTTTCCAAGAGGCCCTGAGCAATGTCACACATGGCCCAGATGTAATGCATGATCACAGCCTTCCCTGTGCTGTGACCCGGGCACAAGGCCTCCCGTGGATCGAGAGCTACGTGGTGGTCTAGGATAAATCCTGAGGCCTGGCAGGGTCCTACTGCTATGAACTGTTCGGGAATTTCTTTTCTCTCTTGGCCATAACAGCATCCTGTGGCAATGAGTTCCGCAGACTGATTGCATGTTGCCTAAAAGGCATTTCCTTTCAGAATTGTGAACCGCCCAGCTTCCATGGACTTGCCCCCATACTTGTGGCATCGGGCTGGGAAATGAAGACATTTTATCCGACGGTGCTATGCTGCTGCATTCTAACACTGAGCTCTGTGCCCATCTTTAAGCTGCAGAGTAGCTCTGCCAGGAAAAGTTGAATGTTGCTGTTACTGGACCTTCTAAAGGATGAAGGGCAGAGAAGGAGAGCGTAGCTCACCCTTCCCTTCCAACAGTAGCACTGGATGGGGCTGTGGAGCAATATGTGGCCTTGGACTAATGAAGAAGCCATGCTGACCTACTCCCCCATTCTCACTTCAGAGTAAAGCTACATCTGCACAAGCTCTGATAATTAAATCCATGTAAAAATCAATCTGCCTTCACCAACGCCATCTCTTCATGAAAGCAAAGCTGTTCAGACATTGAGAACATTTTGAATTAAATCAAATCAGTAGAAGCTACATTGGAATCTACTTAAGGTTGAATTTTATTTACACTGTACTTGTGTAACTAGATCAATTTTAAATCAAATTGAACCCTGGTAGAGAAATATTCTTAGCACAGATTAGGTTTCCTCTGTGGGGAACTGTGCTACTGGAGATACCACACAGCCCTTTGAGGTCAACAGTTCTCATTCATTCTAATGATGTGGTTGATGTTAAAATGAAAAAGCAGTGCAGGATATGCCAGTATCAATTTTCCGGACCCTGACAGTAGTTCCAGGAGAGTTAGTTGGCTTCTGTGATTTTCTGAGGTAAAGAAAGAGGAAGCAATACTTAATTATCAGCAAATCTGATGGTGATTGGGGTTGATAGCCTGAAGCAAAGCCATATAGGGTTTGGTGAAATAGGCTAGCAGCCATGGCAGTCCTTCTGTGGGAATGTGGAGGGGTTTGGATGCTGGGAGGAGTGAATTCTCTAAGGGAGATTGCATTGTTGTACACTTCATTCTTTTGTTTTTGCAGTGAGTGGAGCTCTGGTGCTGACTTCTTTGGAGCATTATGGGCCCCACTTCTTTGACACAACAAAGCGCCTCTGTAGTCTACTGAATGCCATTGCAATTCCATCCACATCACCAAAGCCTGGGAATGGGGAGCTGGCAGAGCTGCCTGCGCTTCCTCTGCCACAAATGACATCCATAACATTTTGAAATCATTTGCATCGTTACTCAAATCTTACCGAGGGTCAGGATCTTCAGCATTCTCATTGTGCAGCCACACATAAAATGCAGCCAACGCAGTATGTCTGAAGGGGACCCTGAGGACCTCCCTGAGGGGGACCCTGAACACCAATAATTTGGATGAAGTTGCCTGATAGAGACTTTTCTACCTGACCGTGTCTTGGAGTGATTTGAGGAGTCTCCCCATACTGTCTTGTTAGTGGATCAGAGCTGTGAGAACAAGCTATGGTGCAAAGAAAGTGTGTTTTAAAGACAAAGGTCCCACTTCACTCACTTCATAGAACCATAGAACCACAGAATGGCTTGGGTTGGAAGGGACCTCAGGGATTCTTAAGCTCCAACCCCCCTACTGCATGCAGGGCTGCCAATCTCCACATTTAATACTAGAGCAGGCTGCCCAGGACCCCATCCAACCTGGCCTTGAACACCTCTAGGGATGGAGCATCCACAGCCTCTCTCTCAGTGGAAAAGAACCTGCAAATGTCAGACCCCAGGTGAAGGACGGAGGTAACCCTCCCCTTCCAAAAGACAATACAAACTATCTGAACTCCAAATCCTTTATTTGGGTGGCATTTGCCTCACCTTGCTAACTAGAATAGAAGATGAAATCCAAATTTCCCCCGTGTTCACATCACTGCAGCACAGGAAAAATAAGGAGTGCTTATCTATCCTCCAGTTTCCCTCACTCTGTGCAGTGGTTTGTGAGTGGATTTGACAGATATACGAGAAGATGGTGAAGGACACTCCTTGAGCACAGCTGATTCCCAGGCCAACACGTTCAAAAGAATGTCTTCCAAGGATAATGTGATTTTCAGAGGAAAGAAATCCAGTGCTCGTGTCTCACATTGAAAGTCATGGAGCACGCAGTGTCAAGGCTGGGGATGGTGCAGAAATGCAGATATGCTTCCCTTCAGAAAAGAGCTGGCTGGAGACAACGTGCCATGCAGGACGTGTGCTTACAGCGGGCAGCAGAACCAGGACCATCTTGTGGTGGTGGTGCTGGCTGGGAGGTACCAGCTCAGTTCCACGTCTGCCAGAATGCGCAGTGCAAAATAAAGTATCCCATTAAGCATACATTTAAAGGCTGCATTTCTGTACAACCCACACACTGAAATACATCATCCAGGAATGAGCCTGCTGCCTTGTTCAGTGTTTACTAAACCTCAGGGCTGAATGTGACAGCCTGAAACGGAGCCAGCAGGCCCAAGGACTTGATGCAAAAAGGCGCTTCTCTGATTAAATTGAGTGGGGAATAGGGAAAGTGGGTTTTGCCATGTACCCTACCCAGCAGGTGTGTTTTTAGCAGTACAGGTGCTGCCCATTTGTTAATTGTCAACTTAGGGCAATGGGATCTGCATCAGACCCTGCCATGGGCTTGCTGTGGGTTCTCTGTCTGCCAGGTTATCTTTTGTATGATGAATTACATGTGCTGGGACAGGATTCATCCCACTTGTGTTTCATTCTGCTCCTAGAACAGCAGAGCCTCATTTTGGAGAAGCAGCATGCCATCACCCCATAGCCCAGGGCTTGCATGACTACAGCCAGACAAAGTGTGGATTTGTGGCCTAAGTGTAGCTGGCAGGAGTAGGGAGGTATCATCCCTCAATACTTGGCCCTGGTGAGGACACATCCTGAATACAGTGTTCAGTGTTGGACCCCTCACTATAAGAAGACATGAGGATGTGCAGACAAGGGCAACCGAGCTGTGAGAGGTCTGGAGAACAAGCATGATGGGGAGCAGCTGAGGGAGCTGGGGTTGTTCAGTGTGGAGAGAAGGCTCAGGGGAGACCTCAGTGCTCTCTATAAATGCCTGAGAGGAGGTTGTGGTGAGGTGGGGGTTGGCTTTTGCTTCTACATAATAGCAACAGGATGAGAGAGAATGGCCTGAGAGAGCTGTGCCAGGGAAGGTTCAGGGTGGAAAAGCTTCTTCTCAGAAGGAGTGGTACCGCACCGGCACAGGCTGCCCAGGGAGGTGGTGCGGTCACCGCCCCTGGAGGTGTTTCAGACCTGCAGAGATGTGGCACACGGTCAGTGGGCGCTTGGGATGGGTCGGACCTGATGATCTTAGCGGTCTTTTTCAACATTGATCATTCTGTGATGTTACGGAAGGAGGGGCTCTGCTGCCAGTCTGGCTTGCCCACGGGACCGAGGGACCGCACTAACGAGCAACAGCCCTCAACGTTTTGGCAACGAGCAGAATTTTTGGCGTCCTCCTGAGGAGCAGCTCAGCCGCAGCTCATCCTCAGGGATGAGGGCGAGAGGAGGAACAAAAGGCGATGGCTTCCCTCAAAGCCAGCCCCCAGCTCGCCCCCTCCCTCCTCTCCCGGGGAGCACGGGGCTGAGACAGCCGAGGGCTGGAGCCTCCCCGAGGAAGGAAAGCCGGGGAACTGAACGGCGGTAAGGGAGGCAGGCGGGCGGGGGCGCCTCTTCCCTGAAAAGAAAAAAAAAAAAGGAGAGGCGAGGGAGCGGCACGGGTTGGGGAGAGGGGAGGCCGCGGCGTCCCGCCCCGGGGAAGCGGCTCTAACATGGAGGGAGGAGAGCCGGCGTCGGGGACCCACCCCGGGGTGGCCCGAGGGGAGCGCGGCGTCCGCCTCGGCCCTCCCCGCGCAGCCCCGGCTGGGGGCGGCTCCTCCGTCCCGCCGCAGCCCGGAGCCGCGTCCGGGGCGGTGAGCGAGCGGCGAGGGCGGGGATGCCGCGGGCAGGGCGGGAGGACGAGGGATGGCGGCGGGGCCGGGGGGCTGCGGGGCGCTGCGGGCTGACCGCGGGGGGCGCGGGCGGGAGCCGGGGGTGCCTGAGCTGCTCGGAGTCGAGGAGCTGAAGGAGAAGGAGCGTGCCCGAGTGCCGCAGTGCGGGGCGGCGGGTGGCCGGGGAGGGCTCGGTGCCGTCCTGGCGATCGGACGTGCCCTTGTGCTGGCGGTGCGATGGAAGGCGACGGGAGGCCCCGCGGTCTTCTGCCGTAGGGCTTTTATGCGGTGAAAGAAGCGCTCCGGAGCACGCACGCGTCCCCATTGAGAAAAGCGGTGTGTCTGCCGAGGAGGCGCAATGACTCAACGAGACCCCGTCCCCTGCTCTGTGTCCCCCAGCCGCCTTTCGCTCTGTGAGGTGCGTGGCTGAAGGCGGTCGGTGGGAGATGAGGCCCGGAGCGAGGGGCCGCGAGGCGACCTGCTGACCCGCAGCCTTCGTGGGCAGCGCCGGCAATGGGGAACGGCGGCTCGGCCGTGAAAGTGTGCGCCGATCACCAGGGCGGCATCAACTGGCTGAGCCTCAGCCCCGACGGGCAGCGACTGCTGACGGGCAGCGAGGACGGCACGGCGCGGCTCTGGAGCACGGCCGACAGCCAGTGCCACGGCCACTTCCAGGGTAGGCATCCTGACCTCCTCCTTATCGCCTCTCTCGCTCCCCACGTTACTTGTGTCCCGTTAATCGTCTTGCTTTCCAGGTGGTTTTTACACAGAACCTCTTGGCCCAGAGCTCTGGGAGGAAACCTTGTTGAATAGAACCTTTTCTTTTTTCCTCAGAGCTCTGACACACGGATGTGTCAGTCGCTGGAGTTTTGACTTCTAAATTGGTTTTGTATTTGTAACAGAATCTGATGTCCTTAGGCTAACGTTTGTATACCTGAGAGAAAAGCTTTGCAGAAAGCACAGCCGTGCAGGAACCGTGCTGGGGGCCAAAGATTGGTTGTATTCTCATTCACTCGTGTTCTTTCTCTCTTAGTAAAGCAGAAAACCAACCACCCGACTCTTACATTTGGAATTTCTCATCCTTTCTTCTTTCAGAGGTTAACACTGTTGGGATTTTTTTTTTGTTAGTTTGTCTTTTTATTATTATTTATTTACTTTGTATTGTCTGTGCCCCCACATCCTGTGTCTCCTGGAAGATTCGCTGTGTTTGCTTAGGGATTAGAAATCCACTCAAAGCAACAATTAGCTTTAAACTGGGAAGATAAGTGTGCTGGATAGTATTCAGTAGGCTTATGAACTGCTGGTGTTTGGGGGAAGCTTTAAAGAAGGTTGGCTGGATGGTTTGTGAATTACCAATCCCATCAGCTAACTCTGTGTATATTATGTTTATGTTCTTATGCTAGTCTTGTGTAAATTCACACTGAAAAGCTGTAATTACTGATAAACCCTTACCTAAAACAGTTTCCAGCTTGTAGCACAGCATAACCAGCAGACTTGTGTGGTGGCAGACCATCACCAGACCATCAGCTGCACCTTACCTGCCATGAGGGATTTGGACAAGCTCTGTGTAACTGTTACCAATGGTTAAACTCTGACAGGCTGTGCTGCAGTGACCAAAGTGCTTTTTTGATCTTGTAAGAGTGGGGTTGGATGCTGCTGCAAGAGAAAAGCTGGAGGTTGAAACCTGCCCCTAGATAAGCTGCTTTGAAAAACGTTGTCACAAACGTGTGAGGCTGGGTAGAGTTTACATACAGCCTATTTTTTTTTATATCTGATGAGTTTAATTAAAAGAAAAATGAAGGTCGTGTGTGCTTGGAGCGTGGATTCTGATTTGCTGAACACTGAAAGGGTTTTCAATTATAAGAGTTGCAATAAAATCACTTTTTTTCATGTCAGTGAACATAAGTGGTTTACTGGGCAGCCTGCTTTCCCTCAGTACTTTAATATCTCTGTTGTACAACATTCTGTTTTCCTAGCATCACTGTTTCTCTCTCTTTTTAATTACATTTGTCCTTTCTATATGCAAGCATTTAAATCACATTCAAGCCTACTGGCTTCAGCCAGAGTCTCTTGGGACACTTCAGAAGAATCAGTTTTGGTCTTGAAATCTTTAAGTCTAGATATCTAAATCCAAAGGAGTGTAAGAACGTTCTGTCTCATCTGTTACCTTGATGGGTGACTGTATAAATGAATCTTACTCCTTCTTTCTGGGTCATTTCCTAAAGGTATACTGATATCCTGAAAACTTTTCACTCATGTTATTAGGCACAATGGGGAAAATGCTGGCTGACTTTTTACCAATTATGCTTTTTTTGTTTGCATTTCATTCTGCTTGGACAATGAAACTAAGCTTGCTGGTGAGGTTCACGTCTCTTCCTTGTTTCATAGTTACGTGCTTCAGCTTAGGACTGTTTGCGTCCTGACAGTCAGTGGGCTGTATTGAAATGCAGCCTTTTTTCTGACTTTAGAAGGAAGCAAACGCATTTCTGTATACAAAATGGATTAACAAACCTTTTTTTTTCTTCCCCTTGTTACCAGTTTTGCAGTAGTGCAGATGTTGTTATACTGACAATAGTTCAGCTCATCATCTTTTGATACAGCTGAGCTGCCTGATTAGAGAAGCAGTACTGTTGTACTCTTCCACTGAATCTGTGTGACAATGAAGTGGAATTTTCTCCTGGTCATTAAAAATGCTGTTTTACACAAATCCTTCAGTGTGAAGAATGGGATTGTAAATTTAAGACTAGTCTGCCTGTTTTCTGTGTACTTAGTCCAGCTGAAGAGCTCACCCAGTCCTCCCTGCTTGCAGGCACGATGCTTGAGCTGTTATTTCTGCTCTTGTTCCTAGGACACGAGAGTTACATCACCTTCTGCCACTTAGAAAACGAGGCTGCCTTCACATGCAGTGCAGATCATACCATCCGAAAGTGGGACGTGGTGACAGGCCAGTGCCTGGCCATTTACCGAGGGCACACATCCATTGTGAACAGGTTGGTTCCATGGAGTTCCGTGGTGTGCCCGTAATCTCTTATCACATAGGTTGTCATCTTGCTGCAATTTTCCGTGACTACGCTAACAGAACGGGTTGTGTAAGCCTTTGGGTGCATGCTCCACGTGTTCTGTGCTGTAATGATTGGTTTTCCTAGCAACAGTGCTGACATATCCATAGACGGCAGATAGGAGAGGGCTGAAAGGCACATGGCAGGGGAATTGAATCCAGCACCAGCCATGACATTCCAGAAGAAACTGTTCAATTGATAACAGATGCTTTTGATAAATGGATGTAAAAACATCACGTCAAACCTTTGAGTCACTGAGGGGGGTGAAGTCAGGGCTGTTTCTGGAATCACAATTCCTCCTTGTGCAAACGAAGTTTGTCTTAATCTGATTGTTTGTAACTGATTGGCTTGTTGATTTTTGAAGTGCCTCTTAGTAGCTGGGATGGCTTTACTTAATGGAGCAATCAGTCAAAGATTTATTTTAATATTTTTTTTGTTGTTGCTCATCACCAAACTCGGAGCACAAACGGTGTGTAGCTGGATGCTGTAAATAGTTAGGAAGGCTGGCTCTGCCTGTGTTCTGGCAGTGGCCTGATTTTGCTTGAATCAGCAAGTTGGAAATGTGTTCCCTATTCATCTGTCTTTGTTGCCAGTTTGAAAGGTTCCAGAGGGCCAAACTCAGCGTATAAAGAAGATAGGTTATGATGTTCCCTATTTCCAGTTTAGAAACACAGTCCACAGAGACTGTGCTGTTATCTCTTCAGTGTTTGTGCAGCTACACTTCATTATTACGGAGGCCCAGCAAGCTGAATTCTTGAGCTATAGTCTCTGATTTGCTTTTTGATTCTGTAATAGGGTTAGCTATTAGGAGGAAGCTTTTAACAAAGTTTTTCACGCAGTGGAACAGGTTGCCCAAGGAGGCTGTGGATGCCCCATCCCTGGAGGCATCTGGGCAGCCTGGTGTGGTGGTTGGCGACCCTGCACATAGCAGGGGGTTGAAACTAGATGAGCATTGTGGTCCTTTTCCACCCAGGCCATTTTATTATCTCCTATGATTTACACTGTACCTTTGCAGTGCTCAAAGCTGCAGTGCTAAAATATCCACACTGGTGTACCTGAATCAAGAGTCCTACTTTTCAAAAGTAAAATAGAGATGTGTTTAGTGTGGGGGAAAAAGAAAAAAGTGTGGTTATAAATAATGTGTTTTAAACAGAGGGGCTGAATCAGAGGTGTGTATGTTGAGTTCATGCTACTGTTTCTAGCTTCAGTGTGCTTAGCATTGAAATCATTACAAAAATTAAGGGTAAAAAGAATGGTACTGTTAATATATAATTCTTTATTTTTTTGCAGGATCCTGGTTGCCAAAGACTATCTCTTTAGTGGCTCCTATGACAGGACAGCCCGCTGCTGGAGTGTGGACAAGGAGAAACAAATCCAGGAATTCCGGGGCCATCGGAACTGCGTCCTGACTCTAGCTCACTATTCCTCCAAGGACGTCCTGGAGGAGGAGGAGGAGGAAGAGGAGGAGGAGGAGAGAGTAAGCAGAGACCTCCTGGTGACAGGTAGCACGGACTGCACTGTAAAGGTCTGGTGGGTGTCCAGCGGGCGCTGTTACCAGACTCTGCTGGGACACACTGGGGCTGTCTTATGCCTTATACTTGACGCACCAAACAGGGAGCTGTTTTCTGGCAGCACGGACTATACCATTCGAACATGGAATATTGTTACTGGCGAGCAGCTGAAAGTGTTCAAAGAGCATCAAGGATCAATAATTTGCCTAGAGGTAAGAACATAGGATTGCTCAAGTTGGAAAAGACCTCAAAGATCAAGTCTAACCGCGACCCAACCAAACTACCCTAACTCTGACAACCCTAAATCGTGTCCCTGGGCAGCACATCTGAATGGCTTTCGGACACATCCAGGGATGGTGGCTCAACCGCCTCCCTGGGGTGCCTTTTCCAGTGCTTAACTACCCTTTCTGTAAAGAAGTTTTCCCTGATTCCAGCCTAAACCTTCACTGGTGCAACCAAGAGCCATTCTAAGGAGGTATCTGTCTTCTAATCTGTGTGAGTCTCAACTGTCTTTTCACTCACGGAGATGCTCTTCTGAGACGTGTTGTAAATGATATTCTTAACCATTCATATAATAACAGAATAATTATGCCCTATGATCTCGGAACAACCTTTCTCTAAAATATGTCATGGTATCCTCCTGGATTCCAGTGGCTGTCCTGGTCTAACTTCTAGCTCAGTATTTATTTAGGTACCCCTTGGTCTTGAAGTTTATGTGTGGGGTGTGTTGGCATGCTCTTCTTCTGAGTAGGATTGTGCACGATGACCCACCAGACTTTGAAGAGAAATAACCTGAGCTGTTGGTGCAACAAAGCTGACATAGGGATGAGTATGTTAAAATGGGAGGAGTAAAATTCAGAGGAAATCAGATATCCAATGCAAAATTGTGAACAAGAGATGATAGCATAAAGCTGGAAGAAATCCTGCTGTTAAAACCACATGCACAGACATAAGATGAGGAAAGAAAGGGAGAAAGAGACGGCCAAATGAGAGAACGGGCAAGGAAAATGGAGAAGAGAAATAGAGCCTGGGGGAGAGAATTGGGAAACAGTGAAGGAGAGGGGAAAAATTTAATGTGACTTGAAGAACTGTACCTTGTTTTTCTGTTTGTGGTATTTTTCTGGTGAACGTTGCCGAGTTTATTAACACTGCAAGGGAGGGAATGGATTTGGGGAGATGAAGAAGACAGAAGGGAACTATGGCATGAGTACTTGTCCATTCACCAGACAATATTAATGGAATATGTAAAGAAGGTGTGTGATGCTGTGTAAGTTAATTTCAGGTCGGTAAACCTAAGTGCTTCTAATTAGATGTGTTGTATTAACTTACACAAGTTGTGTTTTATTTTTTTTTCCACTATTCTTGTTTATGTAACTTCCTTTGCAGAGGCTACAGTGTGTATTTTTAATAGCTGTTTAATAAATGTTGCCTCTGTTTCTAAAGAAGATAGACATAGCTGACAGTAGCAGGCTGAAGACCCAATAGTACTGAAGGAATTCTATTTTCCTTCCCTTTTAGAAAGTTGTGTTTCCCTGGAGTGATGTTTGTCTTGCCTGGGTACATGCTCAGATCATGGTAATGCATTTTGAGGATGCTCAAGTAAATACGTTGTTGTTCTTAGTGTCACGCTATGTCTTACAGTTTAATTGTAACCTTTTCTCAAGGCACAGATTGGCAACAACAGAGCTTGCTTTAATTTAATTGGGTTCTTGCTAAAATTGTTACACAAAACTGGCTTGACCCTCTCCCAGAAGCCTGGGAAATTCAATTACACTCTTTGAATGCTCCAGAATGAGCAGTGCTTCCCTCCTTGCGAGCACAGCGTTAAACAATGGTTTTAAACAAACAGAACTTCTTGTAGGAGAGAAGAAAAGCAAAACCAACACGTCTCTTTGGAAAATCTGAACAATTCAAAGTAGACAAGTCTGCTGCTGCCAAGGCTGTGCTGGCAATGGTCCTGGCCAAACCCTCAGCCCGTAGCTGTGAGTAACTGGTAGCCATTTGCTTCTCCAGTCATCAGTTGATGGCTGAAGCTAGAGGAGTCCAGCTGGGTACATGCTGCCCTAAAACTTACCCCAGCTTAATCACTTGCTGTAATGCTGTTGAATAGCTTTAGCCTGTCAGTCTTTCCTAATTCCTAGCTCTTCCTTATTGGTTCAACACTAGCCCTTCTGTTCCTCTTGGCTGCCTCTCAGCACAGCCCACATGGTATTTTAGCTCTTCTAGAAAGGGGTCAATCACAAGAATCCATACAAAGATGTTGCAACAGAAGGGAAACTTCCTGAGCTGAGGTGTGTGCAGTTTTCTTGTGTTTTGGTTTTTGTTTGCTTGGTTGCTGTCTTTATTTTTATTATTTTCTATTTTTATTTATTTATTTATTTATTTTTTTGCTTCATGTTCCTTTATTTTGCTTTTGACTTTAATAATTTTTTCTTTCTTTTTTTTTTTTCTCTCTCTCTCTCCAGGAACCTTTGGAGCCTTCTTTGCCCAGGGCTCCTTTGTGGCAGTGTTGCAATCCGTGTCAGTGAGTTTAGTGTAGTATTTTTCAAACCCTGTGTCCGGGAGGACTTGGAGGTGGTTGTGAGTCACTAACAGTAGCCAGCAGACAGCTTTAATTGTTGGCAGTAGCTCAGTTTCTTCAGAGAGTGAGCTTCTAATTACACCACATTTTTACTCCCTTGTCCTGGAGGAGCTGAGCTGGTACCAGCATTTAAAGGTAGTTGTTACCATTCACTAGCTGCTGTACTGCTTATGTGGAGAGACTAAAGGGGTACAAAAAGAAGTACTAATTTCTAGTGTATGTATGCAAATAAAGGTTCCTAAGGGAGGTTGGCCTTTCAGAACATTTGAGAAATGGAGTTCAACTTGGTATCTTCTCCCAGACAGGACACGAAAAGTGTGACTACTAAGACTGTATCTTCCCCAGCTTTAAAATGTACTGTATTAGCAGGAGTGCCTCAGGATGTTCTGAACTGCTGCAGATAAGGTCTGGACTGGTCTGGCCAGCTTCCGTGACTTTCCAGTAAATACCAATAGCATTTCTGTAGCAGTGAATGGAGCTTAGGAGAGCCTTTCAGGGTAGATATCCATAGATGCACCCGTGATTTCCCTTTCTGCATGGCTGGTGAATGGAGAGCAAAGAGGTGATGGCACAGTCATGTTCTGATTTGGAATGCTCCTCATTTGCTCCAAGATCTTCTAGGTACTGTTGCCATCCAGCATACATTAGAGGAGCCTGAATACTCTAATCTGGCACGGAAGGCCAAGAAACATTGTTTGGCTTTTGCTTTCCCTTTTCCCCTGTCCTTGGTGATCACAGACAACAGTGAGGAGAGTGAGCAGTTCTGATTCTCTGTGTGATGTGTCCTACTGTCCCAGGGCTGAAGCACGGCGTGTGGCCTGCTCTCACAACAGCTGCAGGTGCCTGTTTTTTGTAACGCCATTCCTCCTTCCACCATCCCAATTCAGCTGACAGAAGCTTTGCCAGTAGACTTTCTGCATGCGAGGTGCCTTGGCAGCCTTGACTCCTTCCCTCACGTCGTCAGGCAAGGTAACCATTGGTGCAGCAGCCAGAACTCTTCTCCCATGCTTCTTCTGCACTGCGTTGCTAGCTTGGCAAGCGAGGGCCAGCAGCTGCTCTGATGCTCTCTTCATGTAAGAGCCAATGATGTGATTTTACAGGAAGCAATGGGAAAAAAGCAAGGGTGGGCTGAATGTAATCACACAGCTCATTGTATTTCTTCTGCTAAAACATTTCAGGCCCAGCTAAAGACCAAGGTTTGTAATTCGTAATCAGACCGACGATTCCCCTGAACACCACTGCCTGCACCAGGCTGAATAACCCTGGCCCAAATATTACTAGTGTGTGTTATTCTAAACGTCTCCAAAGTGGTTTTGCAAACTGTTTACAAGGATTGCTTTGTCCTTTGCTGATTGTTCAAACCGAGTATTTATCGAACTTGTGCTGCCAAAGGCTGGCAGAAAGAAATGATCCAGTCTGGTATTTAGCTTGGATTCTATAGCGAACATTCTTACAAGGATGAGAATTGCAAAATGAGTTTTAAATGAACATGAGTGGGCACGGACTTGCTTCTGGTTTTCCTGCAAAAGAGCCTTTGTTGGGAACATTCCTCTTCGTTGTCTTTTAAAGCTGGCTGGAAGAAAAGAATGCTTTGAGCAAACCCGCTGCTTGAGCTCCATTTATCCACTTAGCTATTGTGATCATGGGGACGGATTTTTTTTTTCTCATGGCACCAATGAAATTGTGTGCACTTTTGGGCAATTTGTTTGTTGCATCGTTCATCACAGGATGAGTTAGGGAAATGTGAACGTGTTCAGCGCCTTTAGAAAAGGAGCGTGTTTTAGGGCCATTACACTGCAGTGAAGAAGCTGAAAAATGTTCTCTAGCAGCCAGAGCACACTCTAGATGGATTCTCAGTTAAAAAAAAAACAAAACAAAACAAAACAAAACCAAAAAACAAAACAATTTCTTGCTCACAGGGAGTTATTTAGCTTGCTAAAATGACTGTGGTTTGAATGGGATCCTGAAGGTCTAACTCAGCGGAAGGCTCGCATGGATGTAACTTGAGATTGCTCCAAGTTGGTGATTTCTAGCTTGGGAGCAGCTGTGAACAGAAGACCCAGCTGACAGGTTGCAGGAGCACTGACCCCTTGTAGAGAGAAAGCTGGCAATTGGAAGTGTGCTGATGGGAACTTGCCTGCTTGAGAGCCTGCTTGAGCACAGTGATCTGCAGCAAGATGACGTGCCTGTTCCGATTGCTGAGCCAGTGGCCTCTCCTTGGATGAAAGTTAAATTGCCTTATAGCAAAGGTTAATTGGAGAGCAAAGTCCACTTCTATAAACTGCAGGTTGAATAACCTGCTACACAACTCTTTTGCTGGCTTTTTTGGCATTCATGCAGGTGGAAATTGTCTTAAGCTGCTGCACGTGTTCAGCTCAGCCAAGCTCACAGAGCAGTAGGGTTGTGACTGTCAGGAGAAACCAACGCTAGCTATGCTTCTTTATGTGAACTGTGGCATGTCTAGGGGCTGTGACCAACATCAGGATTAAATAAAACAGGCAATTTTTTTATGGTGAAACTTGTAACTACTTCAGTGTCTGCAATTTTTGTTTTCCCAGTGCTGTAACTTGGCTGTTAAAAGCCAGTCTGACCAAACTTTGTTGTGGAATAGTGCATTTTTCAGGACATTGCTGGAGCATCTGAGACAAATATGCCTCATTCTCATGTCTCAGTGTTTCATCTGGTAAAAAGCAAAGTCCCTCAGCACAATAAGAAAAACAAATAGTCCAGAATTAAAGCTATCAATGCGGTGATTTCTTTCCCCCCATCTGGCTGAGGCTTTAAAACTGGGCATCTGATTGTCATCAGCTTTCTTTATTCTTTTGAAGTTCCTTGGGTTTGAAGTATCTGCACAGCTCATTAGTTCCCAAGCTGCAGATCTGTTGTGTGTTGTCTGCCCTGCTCCAGGTGTCCTTGCACTGCCATGCTTTTCCTTGTCAGGAACTTTGTTGGGCAGTGATCCAAAGTGAACAAAGCACTCAGGAGCCAGCCAAGGAAAATACAGTTCTGGAAATACCACCAGTTCTCCAGGCATTTGCAGATTAGAATATGTAACTGTTTCTACTGATGGTTTTTAAACCAGGATTTGACAGGCTTGGGTATATTTGGAAAATCTGTTGGGTGAAATTTCACCATTTTCCTTCTAAATTATATGGAAGTTAAATAATAAGATTAGGACTGGGGTTAGAGAATTGAGTATGGGTTTTGAGCTTTGGAAGGGGAAAAAAGGCCTGGTAGTTAAGGATGGAGAGTTTGTAAGCACACAAGTATTGGCTGAAAATGACTGCATCTGAATGCACAAAAATGGGTGCTGGTCTCGGCACTGGGGATGCCTTGCTCCCACCAAAGGTAAAGCTTGGTCTTGCATTCTGCTGAAGAAGTTGTCCTAGGAGCTGATCTGCTGAGCCTAATGTATTAGCAGGGGTATTTAAGCCAAGGAACAGCAACTGTGGATGCTTCCTAGTGATAGGACGAAGAGAAGTGGCTTTAAATTAAGAAAGGGTAGGTTTGGATTGAGTATTAGAAGCAAGTTCTTCCTGGTGAGGTACTGACACTTCTGCCCAGAGCTGTGGCTGCCCCCTCCTTGGAGGTGCTCAGGGCCAGGCTGGATGGGGCTTTGGCAACCTGCTGTGCCCAGCCAGCATGGGATATTTGCGCACTGCGTGCAGCCCTGGGGAGTTGAGAGCCAGGCCTGCTGTGTCTGCACTGGGAGGTAAATGCATCTTTTGGATGCCAATGCTGGCAGAAAGCTCTGGAGTCAAACTGCTGATTTGACGTGGGTTGGATTGGATTGGTGCCTCTGTCTTGCTCTTGTCAGTAAGAATCCCCGTTGGTTTTCATATACCCTCCTGGGCTCAGTGCACTGGTGCTCATCACAGCTTCCCTGAGGCATGTAATGCATCCTGTGCTCTGAGATCCTGGCAGTCAGAAGTTACAGTGCTGCAAATTTCAGGACATTTTTTTTAAGCAGGGACTTGAGACGCACTGTATCACAGTTCCCCACCTGTGAATCAGGGAAGGCATTCATTTATATTTTATTTTATGCCATACAGTGTGAGTGCCTGCGCATCGGGTGCTTGGGCTGGGGGCACTGCCTGTCATGATGATGATTTTGACTAAATGATAGGTATCTGAAGTGCTGTAGCTTAGTTTGCAGCTGTAACCTAGATCTGTTAAGATCTGATCAAATGAAGCGGGATCAAAAAGCAGTTCATCAAAACTGATAGTGATGGCTGCAGCTGAGACAGCCACCCTTGTCTGAGGGACAAAGAGCCACTTTTAAGGTGTGATTGGCTTCGGACATCTCCTTTAGGGGCAGACCTCAGTGGCTGTAAGGGGCTATTTTAGATGTAGATAGTTACAGCAATTCAGATGAGGCGATGCCTGCATCGTACCACCAGTGGTAGATCTGATTTGCAGCTTCCACTTGATCTGATGGCTTTCATTGGATTTCCCTGCTAATAGCTATTCTGTGTTCTGCATTTTAAAGATCCCATGGAAATGAGAGGCAGTGTGACAGTTTGAACACGTAGCAGACTTTGCTATTGGCTTTGCTGCAAGCTTAGTCTGTGACATCCAATAGATGGTTTAACATGCTCATGTTTCTGTTTCTAAGCATTGCTGAGAATCCTTTGCTCCCCTGCTTAAACTGGGGAGTGGGAGGAGGGGAAATAAACAGGTGTATTAGAGGGCAGCTTGGGTGGCACAGCTTGGGGCTTAATGAAGAGAGCTGCCACGCTGCTGACTCTGCAGGTCTCCATGCATTGAAAGGTTTTATGGTTCTTATGCTTCCTGTGGCATAAATTATCTGTGTAGCCCAGGTCATTTAACATATTTTTAAATCTAGCAAGGAAGAAAATCCAGGCAAGTGCTGCTGTTCTGTTCCATTTCAGCATCTGCACACCCACTTAGATGTGGAACTCAAGCAGTTTAACCTAACGTTCCAGTAATGCTGAGTGGCACCTACCTGCAGGAGGTTATAACTCCATGTTTTCCCCTTCTTTGCTCAGTGTGTCGGTGTGAGATGTCTGAACCAGAAATGTGATGACTTGGCCAGGAAAAGCCCAGCAGGCTCTCAATTCAAAACAACTCTTGCATTGAGCAGGGGCCATGTGACAATGTTTGTCGTGCCCATTCAAGTTGAGCCCGGAAATAAAAGGTCAGGTTTCCTTCCTCAGGCTGACTGTTACGGCTCTCGCTTTTTGTTAGTGCTGCTGGCCATTCCTTCTCTTTCCTCAAAGAGATGTAGTATTAATGCCATGGCTAATGCAGCTTAAAAGTAATGGGATGTGACATTTCAAAGTACTGCTGACTTTTAGCAGCTGATGTGTTTTACAACCTCTTGACGTTCAGCTGTGAAAACTGCCCCGTGGGCCAAGTTCTGCTCGTTTATGATGCCTTTCACAAATGCCACCTTCTCGAAGTGGAGTGGAGATGGGAAAGAATGGAAAAAAACATTTAAAGCTTACAGAAACAGAGTGCCAGGAGGAGGGATTGGGGGTTTATAGTGCAAGGTGTCCCCTGAAAGTGACCCAAGAGCAACGCCCAGGTCCAGTTGACTCATGATTGCTGTGAGAGTGTGTGCTTCACTGGCTGACACCATCATACTGCCTTCAAATGGCATCTGCCAGGCCAGCTCTCTGCTTGGAGAAGTATACAGAGCTGTGCAGAATGGTGCCTGCTCAAAGACCATAATTGCTTGCCCTAGATGAGCACGAATGCAGGATTTCTTTGCACTGTGGAGGGTTTCCCCTGCAAAGCTGCCAGGCTCTGTGCATTTCAGACAGTCTATTGCTGTATCCTGGCAAGTTTTATAGTACTACACAGGTCTGTTACATTCTCCCTGTCTCTCTTTCCCTTCTGCAATCATTCCCTTTGCAATTCTTCGCTGTGTCTGTGTGGAAAGGAAAAACCCCCCTCTACCATTGATGAAGAGCTAGTGTTTCCACATATTGACCTCAAGCAGAGTAATACTCTGTTTATCACAGAATCACAGAATGGCTTGGGTTGGAAGGGACCTCAAGAATCATCAGGTTCCAACCCTCTGCCACAGGGGGGTTGCCAACCACTGGTTAAAACCCAGTCTGTACCTCGCAGAGCTACCACTTGTTGGGCTTTTTTGAGGCCGTTCAGACAGAAACTGCGACTTCAGATGAGTCAGCTCAGTGCAGAGCTCACACCAACATGCCTAAGAGACTGTTGCTAATGCTTTTTTTCCTCTTCCCTTCAGCTGGTGAATCGGCACTTGTATTCAGGAAGCGCGGACAGGACAGTGAAGTGCTGGTTAGTGGACACTGGGGAGCGAATCCAAACGTACAAGGCTCACAAACACAGCGTTAGCACTTTGAAATACCACGCTGGGATCTGTGAGTTGCCTTTCCTATGTTCAGCAATACCTTGTCTCCTTTTGGATGTTTGTCTTTGATCGAAGATTGGTAATAGAGAATGCTGTAATTACAAGGCTTGAAAACGTGTCACTTTATTCAGCTCCAGGTTTTTTTTTTTATGTTCAGTATCAAATTTGCTGCACTGTTCTGTGTGAGAAGCTCAGATCTTCCCTCCATTTTGACCGCCTTCTTCTAGCTTTGTAATACTTGCTTTATTTATGTTACGAGGGGAAGTGGCTGAAATCCAGAGCTGTCTGTGCGTTGTTTGCACAGACATGGTTTAGCCTCACCAGCCTAATGTCTGTCAGCCTGCTGCTCTTGCTGACAGCAAGTGCTGCTGCTGGACGCTGCCCCGTGCCACCCTCTGCTGCCTTGTCTGTACTGTTAACAGACTGTCCCAAACCAGAATCACTTCTCAAATCCTCGCTGCTCTTTCCAACGGGGTTTCTGTTTGGACTCTGACTGTCTCAAAGACTCATTTTGCACAAATTCTTTTCCTTTTTTCTGTCTTTCTGCATCTAGTTGTTCCCAAAACCACCTTTCTGCTGCGGCTGAGCATTACTTACAAAAGCTTGGGACTCAGCTTCACTGCTGCCAATACTCCTATTAATAGAGTTATCTTTGCATAGCTCTCTCTTGTTGACATAACATATTTCAGCCAAGGAACTGCTCTTTAAATCCCCCTCTTGGCTGGCTTTCCTTCCGCATGTCAATCTCTGCTCTTCCACATTTGGGTTGCAAGGCTGCATCTCTGCTTTAGTCAGTCCAAACCTCTCAGTGCATCATCTCTGTCTCATTCTGACACTATTGTTAGACTCGATGTGCCTTCATTCACTTCCCAACCAAGTATTTCTCTCCTCTGGGTAACTGGGGTGGATAGTCTTAAACTAATCTAGAAAGCTGCAGCGCTTTTCTGATCTCAGTTTCTGTACTTTTGGCTGGGTGGTGAGGCACTGGAACAGGTTGCCCAAGGAGGCTGTGGATGCCCCATCCCTGGAGGCGTTCAAGGCCAGGCTGGATGTGGCTCTGGGCAGCCTGGTCTGCTGGTTGGTGACCCTGCACACAGCAGGGGGTTGGAACTGGATGAGCATTGTGGTCCTTTTCAACCCAGGCCGTTCTGATGATTCTATGACCAACATGTAACATCAAATGAATGGTTGCTATTGGGGCCTTAACATCTCTTGTGGTAGATGATGGGTATAATGGTGATAAATGGCTGACAAATGTGAGATAACACTCATTAGAAAGATACAAAACCAAACATTGTCATCAAGCAAGATGACTGCACTAAGCAAATGCTGGCCTGATCCAGTGAGGAATCTGTGCTGAGCAGACAGCAGGCTGCGTCCTTCATTAATGAGATGCTCAGAGCTTCTTTTCAGGCTGTTTGTACAGGCTTGACCAGAGTCTCTAAAATCACTGTGAAGAAGGTTAGGCTCAAACAGAAGTTTCATTATTTGACGCCATTTCCCTCCCCTTCATCCCTCTGCAATGTCTCTGCCATGCAGATGCATTACTTTTTCATAGTTCTCTTTCTTAAAATGCATTTAGTATTACTGCATTTAGTCAGATCTGCAACATCCTGATAGTGTGATAGAAGTGCTCATGGTGTTATTTAAGATCTCGCTTTTCAATCTAGAGCAAAAATGCTAAGTGTGTCAAACAAGGAGAATTTATTGCACTTAAAGAGTAGGATACGTGTCATGGAAGAATGCTAGGGATGTGTCTGAACATAATTTAGATATATTCTGATTCTAACTGAGCCATCAAATGATCAGAATGTGTTTCTGTTGGCCTTGCTCAGTATGTGTGTGTAACTACAAGCATGGGGAATGTTACAGCTGTTCTCAGTTCCATTTACTTAATGGTCTTATCATGGTTATTTCTCTCCTCCTATACATACGTGGTCATTTAATTTAGTTTATATTTAATATATTTATATATATTTAATATGTTTATGTCATCTTGCTTGATGACAATGTTTGGTTTTGTATCTTTCTAATGAGTGTTATCCCACATTTGTCAGCCATTTATCACCATTATACCCATCATCTACCACAAGAGATGTTAAGGCCCCAATAGCAACCATTCATTTGGTGTTACATGTTGGTCATAGAATCATCAGAACGGCCTGGGTTGAAAAGGACCACAATGCTCATTTAGTACATATATATATATATATATTTTTTTTTCCTGTTCCAAATCTCCAAGGGAACGTTCCAAACCAGCCCACTCTCCCAAGATGCTGTGAAATTTAAGTAAAAAAAATAAAATAAAAAAAATAAAATAAAAAAAAAGAATTGCTGACATATTTGCTTGTTTGCTTCAGAGAGGTGTCAGTATAATCTAAATGCTGAATCTGGGTTATGTCAGCAGCTCTTCCTTACAACTCAGGGCTGCAGGGGGGCTTCCTAAATCTGGAGTGACAGTTCAAAAGGTGGAGGAGATGTCTGTCAAGAGCAAAATCCTGATAGCTGGAATGAACTGACAGCAGCATGGTGAAAGCAGCTCTTAATTGCTTCTTCTCTGCATGCGTGTAATATAGGAAGGTACTTCTGTTAACTGGAAAAGACTGTGCTGTGCTTTGTGTTACTGGTACTGGTCTGCAGAATGGGATGAGTGCTTTTTCAGAATTGTGTTGGCCACAGAGTGCATGCAGGCCCATGTAAAATGAGTCTGGTTTGTCCATATCCAGGTGTTCCTTAAAGGTGTACCCAGGAGGCAGCCAGCCTCCTGCTCTTTAACTTGGGGATGGAAAGCTGGTAGCAGGAGGCAGCCTGTTCTTGTCTCTTCTTGTAGCCCTCCATTTGCCACTGTGTACATTTCTTTACATCTGTTCAGGAATCCAGTGCCCTGTTTCTCCCAGAAGATGAGAGATCTGTTGTTTTCAGGCACTGTAGTTTTGTAGCTGTCTTTCTGCAAAGACATGAAGTGCAGAGAGCAGTAAATACGAAGCAGTGAATGCTTTGTGCTGTTCTGACACTTTTATCTGTAGATAAACTTGAGGAATTTGAGGCACGTGAAAGAAAGTGGGTGTTCCTGGAAGCAGTTTCTAACCCTTAAAGAACACGGCTGTTCCCCTTTGGGGGAACACTGCAAAGGTATGGCCTAAATCATAGAATCATAGGGGAGAGTCATAGAATGGCCTGGGTTGAAAAGGATCACAGTGCTCATCTAGTTTTAACCCCCCTGCTATGTGCCTTGAATGCCTGCAGGCATGGGGCATCCACAGCCTCCTTGGGCAACCTGTTCCAGTGCCTCACCACGCTCTGAGTGGAAAAACTTCCTCCTAATATCCAACCTAAACCTCTCCTGTCTCTGTTTAAGACCATTCTTGGCGTGTTTCTGACTTGGCATGAGCTGTTCTTTTGTGGCTGCTCCTGTCAGGCTGCGTGCTGAGCTGTGTGCTTGTCTTGCAGTGTTCACGGGGAGTGGTGATGCCTGCGCACGAGCCTTCAATTCCAGGAGTGGTGTCCTGCAGAAGATCTTCCGAGGACACAAGTTCATCATCAATTGCATCCAGGTGGGGAATTTGTCACTTGTGCTCGCTCTCTTGTGTTTCATGGGAACCGTGCAGCAGTTGAGTGCTGTTGGGGGATAAGATGAAATGTAATAGATGCAAGTATCCCCACTGAGAAGGGTAAGCAAAGCCACAGAATGAACCCCCAGAGGCAGTCCTGTGTCAGCGAGGGGAGGCTTTTCAGGTCACGTTAGACAAGCATTCATAAGAAATGCAATGACAGAGACATGTAGGGGCAGGGGATGGACTCAGAGAGCCCTTCCAGCAGGAGGCTTCACAATGCAAGGATCTGCAGTACTTTGTGCAGAATGCAAGTTTCTTCCTTATCCAAACAGAACAAATACAGCATTCAGCCCCTGTCCCCCAGATATGGCATCCCTTCACAGAGAGTCTAGTAACTGTTCACTGTCCTTTCCAATCTTAGTGAGGTGCTAGTGCTGATTACCATGTTCTACCCTTTATTTAAACTACTCTATGAAGTGTTGCCTCCAGCATACAATTTTTTCTGTAGCTGTAACGATGCCAGAGAAGCTCTATCTTGCTGTCTGCTGTACCTCCCACCAGACAAATGGAAGAGTCTCTGCTACAGGGTTAACATTTTTCTGAAAACTAATCCAGGTCCAAGTCCTTAAAAAGGACTTGTTCATTGTCTTGACTCAATGGGCACTGATGTTTAATGCTAAAAAGGGAGAAAGGGAAGGGAAGGGGTAAGGAGAGCATTCCTGTCCCCATCCACTGCTCAGTGATACACATTTTGATGGTGCCTCAGTCTTTGTCTTCAAAACCAGGAGTCTGAAGCTGGCACAGAAATGCCTGGCTACAGCCTGCTATGACACTTAGGAATTAGTTCCCCATTGCTTTTCTGGTGGATGTAAATTATAAATAACTCTTGCTGTGTATATTTTATGGCTCTGTGAAATGGCTAAGAAATGAGGCCTGACTTGGGAATGTCTCATCACACTTGAGCAGCTTTTGTGATAATTTATAGCAGCTTTTGGTATGCGCTATCAGGTCCTAAGTGTCGATCCAAGCTGTGTTTGCTCTGATGCTGGAGTTTGATTATGCACGTTCCGAGCTGTAGCTTGGCATTGTGTGACCCTGTTGTTCCAGATCCACAACGAGCTGCTGTACACAGCCTCCCACGATGGAACACTGAGGATTTGGGACATCCGGGGAATATGCAAGAGAAATAAGCGGCGTTTGAAGAAGGAGAGGTGTGTCCAGGGCAGGAGCTCTCAGAAGGGAAGTCTGTCTCGTCTCTTCAACAATAAGGTCGGCTGCATGGTACAGCAAGAAAATGGGGAACATGAGACTGTTGAGCTTATGTGACTGACCACAACAGACTGTCTGTGAGTGACCAAAGCTGAACCTTCTGTTTTCTGCACCACTGTCTTCATGCAAGCCAGAACTTGGAAAGAAATGGGAGATGGCTTCGCTTGAAACTCTGTTTAAAGAGCCCAAGCTCTCTGTGGCAGTAAGATGGACTCCAGTCATGTTGCTGCTCAGGATGACTCAGCTGAGCCGTACTGGGGGCAGGAGGGACTGAGTGTGGTTGGGGTGATGTATCAGTGGTGTGGCTGTCATTAAGAACTTCATTTACAGCTGCTTTTTTTCAGTTCTCCCTGGCATCGAGGTGTTGCACACTTGTACTTGGCTGGAATCTGACAAGGACTGTTTCTGCCTATCCCCGCTGCCCTCTCACAGGCCCTGAGTTTGGTTGAATGCCTGAGCGTGGCAGCAGCAAGGAGGCTGTGGCACCACATCTGGGATAGTGGCTATGCAATGCCCCTGGGCTCAGTGCTCGGTTCTGCCTGGTCCTTGTATCCATGTGGGAGTTCCAGTTGTGCTTCACAGGGGGTGGGTGTGAATTATAGGGGAAGAGTTGCTGGAAAGGTGTTGTCTCTTCCTTATGTGGTTATGCCTGGCCTTGGCTTGCTAGCAGCAATAGCTAAGCAGTTGAATACAAGAGTATTTCTCCCCATCTTTTTCCAGGTTCATCCCTTTCTGATAACCACTGAGCCCTGAGTAAACGAAGGTTCTTCTATTTTTCTATTTGCAGATATAACCCTTTGTAGAACCAGTACGAAAATATCTTACCACATGTTTTTATTTTTATGGCTTTATTTATTCTGTACTACAGCAAGATAGCAACGCTGTAATTCTTTCTTAGAATGGACCAATAAACATGTGGCATCTACAACTGCCTGTCTTGCTTTTATCTACTTATCAGGTAGAGGGAATTTGCCTGCAGGTGCATAGCAGCAGAGGATGAATGGAATAGGGAAAAACAATATACACACTTTGGGAACTATTTGCCTTGCTGCTGGTGTTGGTTCTGTGTGCCCCTTTCCTCTACTGCTGTGTTTTGCATACGATGGCAATGCCTGTAGGAAGCCAGCAGCAGAGATGGAAGAGTTGTTACAGGCAGCATAGGAGACTGCTGGGTTAAAACTCTGAACTAACGGCCCACAGTGAGTGAGAGCTCAGCACAGGGCAGCTGCACCTGAAGTTTGCAAATGGATTTCAGAGGCACAGAGCTCATAGAGGGGAATTAATGAGTCATTACTGTTTGTGCCTGTCGCTAAAGATATCAGCGTCTTCAAATGCACGTTCAAAATTAACTAAATCCTTCAGCAAATCCTCCCACCCTGCTGATCACTTAAAACTGCACACACAGTTCCTGGGGGCAGTACTGGCAGAATTACATCACAGAGGAACAGCTTCTCCTATAAGCTTTGCATGTCAAGATGCTAATTTTACAAACCCTGAGGAGTTCACTTTTTGAGTCGTCACTGCCACTTGGCTATGTAAACTGTGCCAAAGCAGAGAGCTGCTGCCTTCTGTGCATGCTCATGCACTACCCCAAGGCAATGCCACTGCAGTCCCACCTACTCCTTGTTAAAGCTATGTACAGCTTCTGGCTCGGTTGGTTGTTTCCATTGTCTAGCTATTTTTTGGTTTGTCTGTTGTTCAGTGCTCTGTGCTCTCCTGCAGAGAGACAGTGGGGATAGAGCAGTTGCTGGGTTTCTTTTTGCCTCCAGTTTGCAGTTCTAGCTTTGTCCCCATTGACCAACATGTTTCTAAAATACAAAACTACCCTGTTTTTGTAGTGCTTGTCTTGACACACAACCACGAAATAAACAGCGAGTTACTCATTAGTGATATATATAATTATTGCCTGTCTTTTGCTGCCCCAGGCTAAGGTAGCCAGAGTAAAAACCACACCAAGACTTACCAACTATTAGCTTTAGGATTATTGCAGTCACTTTGCAGGCCATCGTCCTACTTCCAGTATCGTGTATTCTCCCAGTACTGCAGAAGTGCAAGCCTTCATTTCCCCCGATAAATGCTGGGTAAGAAGAAATGGTCACGGCATACACGGCTCATTCCAGAGCAGCTCCTGTCAGGGCCACCAGCAGCAAAGATCCCCGCTCCCTGCTGCCTTCCCCCCGGCCCTGCAGCAGGTAGGGCTTGAGCTCCCTCTACCGTGAGTCTGAAGGTATTGAATGCAAATGGAAAAACAACGCCGGGTGAAACTCACATGCCAGGCAGAGAGGAGTCTCTTGTCGCAGGAAGCTGGATGTTACACCGGCTATTTCCACGTAGGTATTTCTCCAGAACGCTATGGGATGTGGCAGCTCCTACTGCTTTTTAAGAGCAAAGGACAGAAGACTTCTTACTAAAAGCTGAAGCAGCACATGGTTATCTTTATTGCCTGTGTAACATCTGCATGAAGCAAGAAGCAGAATGCAGTATAAATCCATGCATAACAGACACATAAACGACTCTCAGCAACCTTCCAGATGGAAAAAAAACAGTACATAGGTGGATACCTCTCTAACCTCATTAGCCAGGTCTCTCCTTTACACAGATTGCATCAAAGTTGACATCTTTAAGTGATGTAGAAATGCTTATTTGCCTGTATACTAAGTGAATCACTTTTTCACAATAAAAATATAGTTAAGTTCTATTAAATTTTCTTCTGAAAATAAATGTTTCTATCTTTTTGCTAGGACAATAAATTACAGTGTACCACAGATGTAGGCTTTAAGCAGATTTATAAATAAGCAGGAATTATGTGTTTCACCTACAGCTTAACTGACTTCAAGGCGTTTAGTAAGAAATAAGCTGAAGATGCATTTAGAATCCAAACTCAATTTGTCAAGGGAAAAAATGTGTAACTGAAGTCAAGATAATGAGATTTAATGCTGTGGTACTTCTATGTAGGATAAGTATTCATGAATGATCTGTTCCTCCTCCTCCAGTGTTAAATCCAGATAATCCTCCTCATGTTCAGGAATATCCTCCAGGATTTCATTGACTGCATCAGTCTCCATGTCTTCATCTGTTGGTGAACTAGAAGAACCTTCAATTAGAAAAGAAATAAAGTCAGCAGTGGTTTCATTGCTGAAAGAAGTTTATACTTCCCCTCTTTCAGCAGCATGAATTTCTCTGCAAGAGCCAACTACTACAAACTACCTCTTATTTTAAAATTGCTCTACCAGTTATTGCAGGATGGCCAATTTTCCCTCTACTTAAAGCTGCAGGAAAGCCCTTAGTTGTACAACAGGGATTGCTTGAGCTCTGGCAGCTAATACAAGACAAAGTATGAGTTTCCTCTTTGCTAATGCAAGTATCAGTTACAGCTCTATCAAGATAAAGGGCATGTGGTCAGATCAGCTTCTGTATCACACATTTGGAATAAAATTTCTTGGCAATAAAAAATAAAAAAATAAAAAAAATCAGGCATTAACAAGCCAAAAATTTTCAGCACTAAGTCCAGGAAGCCAGAGAGTCTTAAGACTCTCTGAGACTACATGCAGGGAGAGGCTGATTCATTTTTAGACTTAATTAGTATGAGTGAATTCAGTTAGATGGGAAAAGCTAGAATTATCTGTGGGCTACAAAGGGCAGTGTGTTCCTCCTCAGTGATATGATGGAGATACCCAAGGCCTCCAGCCGTGCATGCTAAAGGCATGGCTAAGTCAGCAGCCACTCCTTTCAGCTTCTCCCAGGACGCCTCTGAAGGTTATCCTTTCCTACATCTGCCTTGTGTGCCTTCAGCTGACACTACACCCCTTATAGATCATAAATGGCCAGGACTGATTGTAGGGGCTGTAGCTTATCTGGGGCTAATGTCTGCCTTGTCAGTAACTACAGTACCAAGGAAATCAGTCTGAGGCCTGACTCAAAGCCCTCTACAAACAGTGTAAGCAGAAATCACATCATCTATTTGTACAAAAAGCAGAATAGCCTCCTGCTCTCTCTTAGTTGTTGCATGCAGCATTTCTTACTTGCAGACTCTGTGGGTGAATCTTTAGATGAAGTTGATTCCTCTGACAGACTGGACCCCTCTGGAGATAGCTGAAGTGAATCTGGCAGAACTCCCCCATAATGAGCCAGCGTCTGGGAAGCTAAGTGGATGTTGCCTTTAAAGACCTTTAAAGCTTGCTTTGCTGACTCCTGGCTGAATCCCATGTACATCAGCTACAAGGGGCAGAAATAAAGAAATTCAAGCTCAGTCAGCATCAGTGACTGACAGGAATCTGACAGTCATTCCCCTTGCACAGAGGAAAGCATTGCATACCAGGAATTCCAGGACACTGAGTGTGGTTTACTGGAATAGCTAACAACAGGGCAGTGACCTATTACAGGAATGGGAATGCTGAGCAAAATCAAGAGCCTCTTGTTTAACATCAGGCCAGCTCTTCAGTTTTCAAAGGGAACTTCAAAGCACTCCAGCACTCCAGGAGTGTGCATTTATTATTTATCTTTTCTATGCAATGCAGTTTTCCTGCCTGACGTTAAACTATCGAGCCACACTAGCTACTGAAAAGCTTTTCAGATGGCCCATGATGAGAAAAACAGATGTCAACTCTTTCCCAAGTGCACTGCAATATGTTTAAATACTTGAATACATTTCTTCTCTGACGTCTTTTTTAGAGTAAGAGCACTAGAATGCCTGTACTTCCTTCAGAACCTGTGCACCACACATTGGTGTGAAGGGCAGGAAGTAGACAGGAATTACACTTCAGCCCAAGTGTGACTTCGCTGAGAAGAGAAGATGCAAGACGATGGAAATGTGACAGCATATGAGGCACATGGGACAAAGACAATTTCCACAGCTCTGCTTAAGATCCAGCGTGGTTGAAGGTGTAATTCAGAAACAAGGCTACCAACTCCTCAGAAAGAAAAAGATTTGACTTACTTGGTCAATACTTTCTTGGGAAACCTGAAACTGGTCTGAGGCTGCAGAATCATCATCATCGTTTTCCAACAGTAACTCTGGATTGTCCAGAATAAACTGTAGTAAAATGGAGAGGGATCAGAACAGAGCAACACAGTTACATTAGTCCTCAATGTGGAGAAGTGCATACAAGCAAAACCTCAACCATCTTAGTGTCTGATTCACCAGGTCAGGAAGTAGAAGTTTGGTCATTACAGTTCAAAAGAAGGGTACAAACTCACCAATACAGAAAGCAGAAAATAAGAATCTGCTAAGCAATTCTAAAAGAATACTTTTCTTTTTTTTTTTTTTTTTTTGTATAAAAGCACTACTCCTGGAAATCTTACCTTAAAAGCTTGGTCCAGGTTTCCTTGTGCACGATGAAGGGCTACTTGAGCAGCTCGCTCTGAGTAGCCCATACTTTTCAAGGTGTTTATGTCTTCCAGTCGCTGCCTTCTTTTAGCTCTCTCCTCCCTCCTTATCTGTGCCTTTTCCTGCAAGAACACAGCCATTACAAAGCTAACTGTGCATGGGATTGCTTCCACCTTCCCCTGTGCATGAGGGGTTTCTTGGATTTACTTCTTTTGAACTTGGATTTCTTGAGGAAAAAGAACTTAGTATTTTAAATACAGATTTCACTGCCAGACAGTGATCACTAAAGTGATTTGTATTCCCATGAGCAAGCACTGCAGCCATGCTTCTGTTCTGAAGTCTCAGCAGATCTAATCCTACACTATCACAGCTATTATAGGCCCTTGTAGTAAGCGATAAACCAGCTTGGCAGATGGGTCTGTGGACAAGACCTGCCAAGGACACACAGTTAGGGCTGGGCATGTAGCCAACAAGATCTCACAGCCATTTGACTTTTCTATCCACATTTCACTGTCTGAAGTCTTAAAATACCACCTCTACTTACCAAATGTAATTTCAGGCACTTCAAGTATGGCCAACACTGTCGGCTACTTATACTT